GGATGCAGGATGTCAGGCAGAGAGACATGTGTTCGAGGAGCTCTTGCATTTGAGCTTTAAACTCTGACAATTTTATACGCCCAACGCATGATTTGCACAGTGAATTGGTCGCTAGTGGTGGCATTCAGAGAGTTGAAACTGATGCATCATCCCTTCACTGAACCATCAAGAATTCATTGCCCCTCACTGTCTGGGCAGTTCATATGTGCACACGGTTTGTATTTTTTGTTGCTGGTTGGGCGCGGGCAGATGCTGCACACTACGTGTTCATTTGTTTCAACCAATATTGATTTGGGCGTTAGAGCTTTGACATTCCGTGGTGAACATTTTGATACAGACTTGCAAAATGTTCTTCCTTCTCACTTTCATTTTGAACGACACCTTTCAGGCGATGATGCGCCCAGTACAGTATGTCATGAGACCCCATAATGGCAACCGAGTGCAGCACGTTGTCGAATGGGGATTACGGCAACAACAAAGAAGTGCAAAACGATCCCTGTGCCCAGTTTCATCTCCATGTGCACCATGCCAACGAATGCGTATGGTCAGTCGAATTACAAAACTGTGAGAACATTCACAACTTCACGTCATCTCCACTATTTTTGTCATGCTCTTGTACACAGGAGCACCAAGTTGAGGATGCTGATCTTGTGTCCAGATTTGATGCACTTGTAACACCGATTAGTGCCTTTGTCCTCGTTTGACTGGTATGCATGTTTGTGCGATGTCGAACCCAACAGCTACGGCAGCTACTACTTGACAAGGAACAGCCTGGCTTTTGCATCGCCGATGATGATCCAGGACGCCTCCTTGGGGGTGAACAAGCTCATGATAGGGGGTCTGCTGTCCATGCAAACGGTGGCATATGCCTTCAGCAAAGGCATCAGCGGCGTTCTGGGGGCGTCGTTTTCTGCCACGGTCCTTCTGACGGGCGGCCTAATGGCAACGGCGGCCTGCAATATTGCATTTGGGTCCAGCTCTGTGTACATGCTGTTCCTGCTGTTCTGGGGAATGAATGGCCTCCTACAGGTGTGTTGATAACAGGATTCTGATGGGCACCAAAAGGAGCCAACTGGATGCTTTGGGGTTGATGATCGACATGGATTAATCTTGACAGCGCAGGAGAACACCGGGTTTGATTCAGCCTTCCTGCTGTTGCTACTATTGCCATTAATTCTGTGTATCCACTTATGTACTTCTGTCTAACTGCTTGTCTATCTATCACATCTGCTAGCTTGTATTTCATATTATGTGTCTGGGAGAGGGGACTTCCCATCGCTAATGAGATTGCATTTTGTATCCAAATAATTTCCCTCTTGCGCTTTCTCTCCTTAATGGAACGTAAATGGCCTGTGGTGTGGTGGTTGAGGGACCTTCCTGTTAGTCGCATTGTGGCAAGTCCCTTGCAGTTTCAAAGGGAACACCAAATGTGTGTTGTCCAAAGAATGGATCAGTGACAATGTGCTCATGACATTCCTGGTTTGGTGTTGCTCTCAGTCGAATCATATCCTGTTGATGTTATGAAACATACGATGGGACAATCGAATGTTTGATTCTCGATGCCCCTCCTGAATTCCCCCTGCAGTCACGGGTCCCCCTAGCAAATTGATAGTTGGACCCACCTGTCAGTGGCCAGAACTGGCCCGCCTGGTTATGGGCTTGGTATCTTGCGATGCCTGTTCCATCACTGATTCTGGATTTCTAGCAATTTGGCAAGCACCTGATGGTCAATGTCATTTTGCAATGGGCTGTTTGCCAGCAAATTGGAATTCCTTTGTTGTCCAGGGCATTGGCGCCCCTGCGTGCGCCCGTCTCCTCACCAACTGGTTCAAGGGAAAGGAGCGCGGCACGTATTGGGGCCTGTGGACGGCATCCAACAATGTTGGCGGCTTCGCTGCCCCACTGCTTGTGGGTATGGCAGCCAAGACTGGGGGTTGGAGGTGGGGGTTCTACGCCCCAGGTTTAGTGGCCATCTCCATGGGCATTATGGCACTGCTGATCATGAAGGACTCGCCTGAGAAGGCAGGTTTCCTGCCTGTGGAGGTTTCCAAGAAGCCAAAAGCCACGAAGGGCGGTGCAACTGTGGGGTCACTGCAGGAGGTGGTGAAGAACGTGTATGTGTGGCTATTTGCACTCAACTATTTCTTCGTATACGTCGTGAGGCAGGGCATTACGGCATGGTTTGTGTTCTACTTGATGCAGGTGCGCAGACAAGATGCTATCAATACTGGGGATCGATCCCATCACGTCCTGGGGTGGAAATTGGCGCAGCGCACCAAATTGCGTTGATGAATAGCCCAAAAAGCTTCCTGGCAGTCACAGCATCTGGTCCTAATTAAGTGCATCGTACATTTCTGGTCCAAGGATTGTAGCAAATTGACATGGTCCTGAAGTCACAACATTTGGTCCCAATAACGTGGGTCATGCATTTCTGGTGCAACGATGCAAGGAAATTGACATGGTGTGAACTTAGATCGAAACTGTGTGACATGCGCTGATTTATTGCAGCGACTGCGACAGACATTCTTAATACGTCTGGCATTTATTCAGACGTCAGGCCCTGCCATGCGACATCCTTGGGGGCCCTTGGACCCATAACACCCTTCCAGGGCAGTTTTTATCAGACAGCACCTTGCACAGTGTGCCTCCCCGCCTTCCCAAACCCGCGTTGTAGCGCTTGACGGTGCTATGTGTCCCCAAACCCACGTTCTCCTTTGGAGGTACGAGGGCAATCCCTTGTCGCTTTTCGACAATGGCAACCAATGGACTGACGCCCGCCGTCCTTTTGCCTCAATCGAACAGGCGGGATCGGGCACTGACCTTGCCACGGCAGCGGTCCGGGTGTCCGGCCTGGAGCTCGGTGGCCTGCTGGGGAGCTTGTCGTCGGGCGCCATCAGCGACTACCTGATCAAGAAGAACGCCGGCAACGAGTCCGGAAACGTGGGCCTGCGCGTGCGAGTGGTCATGTGCTACACGCTGGGCACGGCGGTCATGCTGACGGCCTTCCGCCTCGCGCCCTCCGTCCCGCTGCTGCAGTGGCTGGCCGTGGCTGGATGTGGGTTCATGTTGTACGGCCCGCAGATGCTCATCGGCCTGTGCGGGGCAGAGACGGTCAGCAGGACGGCTGTCAGCGCATGTCAGGTGAGGACAGGTTTAGGTTTAGGGTTTAGGGTTTAGGTTTTAGGTTTTAGGTTAGGTTAGTTTTGACGGAGTTGGACATGATGTGCACGTGACTTGGTGCAAGAAGTCACCGTTTTCGTGCAAGCAGTCACCGATTTGATGCAGGGAGTAATTTTATGCCAGGTGAGGGCCGCCACAACCACGGCATGTGATTAATCCCTGTGTCTTTTCCGTGAAGATCCCTTCTTTTCGGACACCCTGAACCCCAAACCACTGACCCGCTTACCCTCGTTGGCCTTGTCAGCGGAAGAAGAAGCGATCCTCACGGAAGACCGAGGGACTAGTACACTCTCCACAACCTCTGCCGGCCACCTGGCACTCCTTTTGCTGTGTGTGTTTGTGACGGTGCTCTCATTCTTGGAGTCGTGCCTCACAGGGTAGAATTCGCGCTCTCTGATTCATGATGGCGATTCGTGGATTTGTTTCGTGCCCCTTTTCATGTTTCATGCTTTTCCAATGAATCGCCGTCGTTCATTAAATCGGTGTCCACACAGTTGCTTTCAGTGGTCGCAAGGGGTCTTGCACTTAACGGCGACGACATTGATTGATTCCGAGCCTTCTCTGAAGAGAAGCTGCCTTCTCTTCTCTGCCTTCTCTGCTCGCAATTTCTTCCTGCTTTTGAAGATTCTGGCCGCTCAGTAAGGGCACGACTTGCCCCAGTTGCGGGAGATACATGGGTATTGACGCTATGCGCTCATTGCTGAATTCCAAGCGCGTTTTGGTACATCGTATGCTAGGCTGGGCGTGCACTGACTGCTGAAGAGCTTGTGGCTTTCGACAAAAGCCTACAGCACCATTTAGATGCTTTTCCTAACTTTCCCTTTGGGCTTGGGACAGTACTTTGCAGCTGTGCTATATTGCTGTACGTCGACTCTCGGGTGTGAAGGTGTTCTTCGTCAATGCAGCACACTTCACAGCTCGATCGTCGACATTGACACATCTGTTCCTTCGCTTGACATTGGGATCTGATGACACTAAAACTGTGTGTACTTTCTGCAGGGATTCCTGGGGTGGGTGTCCTACCTGGGGGCTGCCAGCGCCGGTGTGCCCTTGGCGCTGATCGTGGACAAGCTGGGCTGGAACGCCTACTTTGGCACGCTCATCGGCGCGTGCGTCGTGTCGTTCCTGCTGGTGCTTCCGATGATCAACCTGTACTCGGATGCGCAGAAGAACGAGATGGCGGAAGCCAAGGCAGCATGACCCGGGCCTTTCGGTTGAGGCCCAGTGAGATGAGCCGCAACCCCGACTGGCGTGGTGCCTTGCCCTGACCGCAGGGCGGACTTATCATTTCTTTGCCCTTGTGAAGATAGTTTGGGCTCGTGTCAGTCGCGCCGCCGTGGTTCCGTGTAACTATATGTGCGTAATGGCGCAGTAATGACGCCCGGTGGATGTGTATAACGCACGTACTTTCAGTGTTTTGGACATGGTAGCTGTCCCTAACAGCTGAGGGAGAGGAGTCAGTTGCTGGGCTGCTCTTCTGTGCTGGTCGAGATCCCGTTTGAGGAGGTCAATGGAAAACTGTTGCGCTGGTGATGGTGAGGGACGTTGTAGGATGTGTGTCTGCGCGCATGGGTCGCAGCACGCATGTCACCGTCCACGCGGGCAGTGACGGCTATTTTGCTACTCCGCCATGATTCTGGTTATTTCGAGCTGTCGAATTGTTTAATGTACCGCGACAGAACAATGGACGTGTTGTCGTTGCATCGTGTTGTGCGCTCGACAGAATGGTCCCCTGTGGGATGACCTGATGGCGGCCGTTGCGCAGCTGGAATGCAGCAGGTGTCTTTTGCGGCGTGCTGCAATTTGTCAAGTGCAATGATCTCCGGATGCTGCGCTTATCTTTGTAATTCAAGGATTGCCTATCATGTGGGTGCAGTCATGCGCCACACATAATCCCCCCTGGGGGTGGGGGAAGAGGGGAATGTCCAAACTTTCCGAGCACCAGCAGCTTATCTGAACACAAGAAATCCAGCGCATTCTGTGCTTGAACACTTGGAGTTCAATATCGCACCTGGGTATTGTTAGTTCAATAGCGTACAGGATGTCCTCGGCACACAATGCGGGGATCAAGTCAGCCGTTGTGCTGTATCGGCGAAGCCACATGGTTTTGGACTGCATGGAATGCCGCTTTGGAAACGGTGCGTGAGCGCCAGAGCTTCTTGGGGAACATTGCCACAGCAGTACTGTGCCGTGAAGCTTGAGGAGAAGATATTTATGGCGGTGATCTGATGGATCACCGCCAGCAGTGCATATCCCCGGATATGGGCGAATTGCGGAATCTCATGGTGGAACAATATTCTGGAAGAGGGCAGTGTATGACATTGGATTGCATCTGAAAAGCCATGTCCGAATCCATAACCATACATGTTGCCAGAGCGCCCGTGCACGATACCCGGTACCAGAGCGGCCTCCTTGCCCATGTCGATGCGCCAAGTAGACTTTGCGTCTGCTGCCTCAAAGGAATGGCCATCGTCTGGCATAGTGGATGGCGACCGAAGCTCACTCTGTACATTGGGTGTCGCCATTGCACAATCTGGCCTCAGTTCGTCCATTTTGAGACCACCATTCCTATCGCGCGCGCCTTCCAGGCAACCAGAATGCCACACAGAAACATCAGCAGTGGCGTCAGCCATCCTCACGCACAATGGCAGCGACGAGGCAGGCGTAATCTGTGTTCACAGCCCACAACCCTCGCAAAAATTGGACGTGGTCGGTATGGATGTAAAGCCCGTGTCGCGCGGCGGCGTTCCCGGCCAGGAAGAACCGCCAGAAGGGGCGCTGTCGTGGGCGACGGTGTTCGACTTGGTCAAGCACGCCTCGGGGATAAAGGCCCTCGCCCGCCTGGGCGACCACGTGTTCACGGCATCCAGAAAAGGCGTACGACGATGGGCAACGGCAGACGGCAGGTAACGCGCTGGTGACCGTGGCCGCGTGCTGGAGGCTGCCGGAGAAATGTGGCATTCGCTGGATGACGGCCCTGAGTGACAGTTCGAACGCTAGAGAAAAACAGGTTTAGCAGCTCGCCTGCTCTCGGCGCACGAGATATTTCTCAGGCCAATAAGGGATTGCCTGTGGAGTTTGCAGATTGAAAGATTGAACAGAGCTGGGCCAACAGGGGACGATGAGCGAGAGCCTAATCTCGTGCCAAGAGCGTCCAGCCACGCATTTTCAAGTTTGCGTCGTCGGAGTTGTGTGGCTTGCTTTGAGACAGAAGCATTCCCAGCTTGGTGCACGACTCTGGCGTTCCTGTTGTCAACTGTTGGGCCTGGGTAGTTGGGCCTCGATGAACGCAATGCAACATATATCAAACGCTGACCCACCAACTTGAAAGAAAGCCGAATACGAAATGGGTTACATCTTTCAAATGATGCATCAGCGACATTGGCTGTAACTTGAAGGGAAGCAACTGGGACGAGCAACTTTGCCCACACCTTGCACTGCAGTCAAGTCTGCACTCAGTGTACACTCAAGATCCTTTCATGAGAACGTGTCAGCACCAACACATGACGTCTGGGCAGACTGTCGACAACGTGATTGCCTCATGTACCACAGGTCCGAGGCCTTCATCGAAATGGAGTCGTTTCCATCCATTGTGCACACACTTGCGATTATCGGATGCACAGACTTATGGGCATGCATGGGCGACGGACAGATTGTGATTTACGATATCAGCACACGCTTTCCCAAGTGCAAGGTGAGAACAGCACTCCCAAAAGGTCTGTCACTTCCACAGAACGTCTGGCGTTGTATGTGCATACTGAGGCGCACTACACAGTGCATGAAGTTCATTGTGCAGGATTCCCTGCATCATGCCACTGACTGTGTTCCAAGCTCACGATCCAGTGCTCATCCTATGCATGGCAGTGCAACTGCTGCCCTTAAAGGAAGAAAATGGCCCAGAACGTAAAACATGGTAGCTGGCAGTGCCAGGATTCCACTTCCTGGTCTGCCATCTCGCCAGTGCATAGTACATTGGGCGAGTGAGGAGAACCACAATGCTGCTTTGCAGCTGCGCCTTGACAGCTTTTGAGCCAAGAACGATCCCAGTCTGTGTCCAGACCCTTGGAGTCATGCTGCCACACACCGGCCTCTGTCTCGCCCAGGCAGCATGAGGCATCAAATGGACAGGTCAAAGCATCAAGTGGACATTATATACAGGGGTCATCTCAGACAATCTTGCAGCAAAACGTTGTTCCCAGCCCAGATGGAATGCACTCCACCGCGGCAACCCGCTCGAGAACGTCGAACAGAAAAAACTGCAGGCCGACGGATGATCACTTCGCCCGGCGCCCTGTGGCGCCATCCCCACAAACATCCTCTGCCATCCCCTTTTTCCCCGCCGGATCGACGTCTCGGCGGCTCCCCACAGGCCCTTGGGGTCCAGCCGCCTCACGAACAGCTGGCAGGTGCGCCTGGAGCCACTCCCCGCGAGCTCCTCGCAGCCCTCCACCTGGTCTGGCCGCCTGTACCCGAATCCCGAGTACAGGCCGAATGCGTCCGCGTTGGACGGGTCGCAGTGCAGGGCCGCTATATCGCATCCCCACCCCCGGGCTGCCTCCTCCGCGGCCACCACCAGCGCCTTCCCCACGCCTTGCCGCCTGGTGCCCGGCGACACGGCCAGGTTGCTGATGTACGCCACGCCCTCCTTGTTCTGCCAGACCGTCCTGCCGTCCACCACGCGCGGCACGCTGGGCACGTGCTGCCCAAGGGTGTCCACAGTCACGACCTGCGGCATCCGCCCGACAGCGCTGAGCACACGCCACCGGCAGGTTGGCCTCCGGGCGACGTCAATCGCCCCAGACACGCTTTTTCGTTCTTTCGTTCTCTTTGGGTCGCTAATTGCGAGGCGATGGCGCAATCGGAAGATTCAGAGACAAGGCTGGGTTCGACAGTCAGAAGCTCGCCTGAGGACGCGGCCGTCGCGGGCAGGGTGGGTTCCGGGCGACTTCAGTGGCCCCAGACGTGTGTTATCAACTGTTTCTCTGCATCGCAAACAGTGAAGGCGGGCAATCGAGCGGTCGGAAAATCCAGGGCTGCAAAATTCACAGGCAGGGCCGGGCTCGACATTCAGAAGCTCGCTTACTGTGGAGGCGCGAGCGAGCTGCGGCAACGGATGCGGAGCACAAAGGTTTATCAGGCCCCAATGCTCACCCCCAGCACTCCCTGGCTCTCGTGCGAGACGCCCATGCCGTTACGCACGCCGTCGGGGAACGCCGAGGCCAGCGCCGCCAGTAGCCAGTTGCGGTCCCGCCCCCGCCGCGCCACCACCACCTCCTCCTCCCCCTCCCTCTCCTTGGCCACCGCCACCAGGCAGGCGTACCTGCCGCGCCCCGAGGAGTCGAACTGCTCGCCGGTGATGATCGACATCACGCGGTCAAGTCTCAGCAGGGGCCCCACTAGGAAATCCCCGGGATAGAATGCCGAGCAGTGGACATCGGCGGCCGGCCAGAACTCGTGCCCGCGGGCGGGCCTCACGCTGTACTCCACGCCCCTTCCCGTGGGGAAGTGGGCGAGGGCCATTGAAACGCGCGGCGCGCGGCGCCCAGGTTTCGCGGGCCATGACCGGCAGCTGGAGGCGACCTGGCGGGCGGTCAGGGCGAGGAGGAGCGCCTGCGGGGGCCCGCCCAGGCTGGACGGCGCCTCCGGCATGGCGGGAGGGCGGGGGCGCGGGGCGCCACGGGTAGGCTGCGCGCTCCGCGCTCCGCGCCACACCGCGCTTTCTGATTGGTGCTCGCGCGCTTGGTTGCGTGTTGGTTGCGTGGGGCTGGGTGGTGGAGGGACTGTGTACTTAAGGGCCGCGGTGGATTGTGCATTGCTCTTGATCGTGGCTGCTTTTGCGCTCGGAACTGGAAGGGCAGCGTCCAGGTTGAGTTGAGAACCAAGAATGATTGTTTTGTGCATTTTGTGCGTTTGATGCACGAGGCAATACGCTTGTCCCTCGATACTTGATGCGCTTGTTGCTCGAGTGGTTTAAATACGAGAATCCAAGAAGACACGCATATTTTTAATGGCATGAGGAAAATGCAATTGCAATGCATGTTTACTAGGCATCAAAAGGTACATCAGCCGCTGCAGAAAGAAAGATGGAAGAAAAGAAAATACTTGGCTGGACTGTTGTTCTTTCTCTTTTGTTGAGGGAGAAAACTGGAAGGTTTTCACATTCGCGTGCACAAAATCATGGGGAAACGCTGTGGCTTTGGTACCTTGCGCGCAATTTACCAGTTCTGGGCACGTAATGATATTTGGTTTGGCCAGTACATTTGAATTGAGGTGCTTAAAATCGCATGTGACGGGGCAGCATAGTAGAGTCTGTCCTCCAAGTGCAGCTGCACCGCAACGCCCCAGAGGCACGTGTTTGGGAGACCCTGTGAGGCACGACGAGTCAAGGGGCTCTGTGCAATGCAAGTTTGTTCATTGGGACAAGGCTTGCCCGATCGACGCACCTGGAGAGCAATGCAACCCCCAAGGTATTCACCCCGGTTTTAGGGCTGACACCGCAACGGATCTCTCACGTGTGGGGGGCGCATATCGGGCGCAAGGGCAGGGTGCCGCTGGAACGCGTGCATGCACGAGTTTCATGTCGGCCCTCGTCAGAGGCAGGGCGTGAATTGGGAGTGTGAGCTGGTGCGGCGTGGACGAGGAGGTGGACATCAGTGGGTTCTGTCGACAGGATGGGTGTGGCGGACGGGCTTACACCAGGGCGCGCTGGGCTGCACGGAAATTGCCGATGGGCGGAAAACAAGAGTCCGCGCGCTATGATGATGGATGGGACGCTGACTAGTCGCCACTGCGGTTGTCAGTTCATCGGCAAGCCGGGATGCTGAGGCCGACGATCAAGGATAGCATTGGGCCTGCGACAGAGCCGAAATGAGCCAGTTGTGCAAGAAGTTATGCGTTTGGTCTATGTGGCCCTCGGTTGCCGCTACGTAGACTTGCCAATGTTTACCTGATGGTTCTCGTGGCAAGCCAGGTTGCCTGGGAGAGGCGTTTCAGGTCCGGCGGGAACCGCCGCGTCCATGTCCGGAAGCTTGTGCCGGCTTTTCTTTCCGTTCTGTTGCGTCAAACTACGTGGCGCGTTGTTCGCCTGGTGTGGTGTGTGTGGGTGGAGGCTTTCAGCATTGGGGGCTGCTAAATGGTTGCAGCTGGCACTAAACCCAACTTGGGGAGGCCCAGCTGTGTAGCAAGGAATTAGCCACGCAACCTCAATTGAATTCAGTCATGGTAGAATTCTTCAATTTGATTGAAAAGTACTGCATTTGCGCTGCTGTATATCATTGGGGCAATTTTGTATGGACACCTGTCTCCAACTAATAATAATTGCAGTCTGGGGTAGCATTGGCCAGCGCGCCCACACCAACCAAGACCTACAAGGTTCCACATCTCCTCTTCCTTGACCCTGGCCTATTAGTAGGCCAAATTCCAAATAACATCGATTCATTATCTTCCATTAAATCAGGCTGTAGCAACAGCGCGAAGCAACAGACACGTGTCTCACGTGGCAGAAAACAGCGTTGTTGTGCTGGGTGGCTGGAGCACAGTTGGTCAAATGGATGCACCGAACGCAAGGCACGGCGTCCACCAAAGGAAGAAATAATTGATCTTCAGTGATGGTGCTCCTGGAAAGCCTGTAATTTTTGCCACTAACCGGGGGCCACAAATGATGTGCAGTCGATCCCCGTTGCCGTTCCATAGCGAAACCACAGCTGCACAGATTCTTGACGAATTCAGGAAAGCGCGACACAGATCCGCATGATGGAGCAATGGACAGGGGGTTTGCGCGTTCCACGGGAAATGCACTGCCATTCCTTGAAAATTTGTGCTTACGCTGGCGTGTATCTGATCATGTGCGCGCCGTGCGCAGCTTCCATCTGCTTGTCGCCGCAGGATCTTTGGCGCTGCCATATTGAACGCAACAAGCGCCACGGGGCAATGGCAATCTAATTGTGTCCTGTGGTCAAGGCGTTCAGGGCCCACAACGGCGAGATCCTGTGCATCGTGGAGGGGATCCCGGGAAAGACGGTCGTCACAGGCGGTGCCGACTTTCAGGTAGTCTCCCTGACAGAAGTGTTGCGGCTGGAAATCGCAAGTGCTCCCGTGGGTCTGTTTGCCATAGATGCACAGCAGATTCAAATGCAGGCATTTCAGCGACAATGGCAGTCGAAATAGCGTGCACGGCACGGGGAAGAAGCACCCTTGGTGTTGCAGCTGCGACCCCTGGGGAGAATTCAACATGCTTGCGCGCATCCGCGAACTGCTGGCAGGCGAAATGGAATTGCTCTTGGCGTGAGCCCGGATTGTCTTGATTTTATCTCAGAGCTGAAGAGCCATAAATGCGAAGTATACCCTGTGGCCTGTGCAGCGAAGGGAGAACTGGAAATACGATGTTCTGGAAAACCTCCTGTCATACTTGCGCATCAAATTCTTGGTCCGTAGCGCCAGCTGCTCAAATCCTTGGATATTTGCAACAAAGGGAGCACATCTCCATCCACTGCCGATCGCTGTGCTCGCGAGCGCCAACGATCGTCGCGTGGCAGCTTCTCGTTACCGTGGATTTCATTTTATTCTACTACAAAACTGCTAGCGGCCTGTATCTGAATCAGACCCTCCACTTGCCATGTGCGTTTTTTAATTTTTTAAACGCAATCGCCGCGGTTCCTTCGATTTTACCCCAGATCTCCCCTCAGTCACCATCCTTTGTGGTTTCCAATGCGCGTAGGTGAAAGTGTGGAGCGCGGAAGGAAATCTCATCTCCGGCAGTGGCCACCATCATGGGAACGTCGAGTGTCTGCTGTCCACAGGATCAGCTCCGAACCTCAAGTTGTGGACCGCTGCGTCCGATGGCTCCATTTTCCTATTATCCCCCGATAAAGAGACAGGGAAACTCGAAGAAGGGTCTGCAACCGCGATCAGGGCGGAGCAATCGGTTGGTGAGCTCTAATTTCTTGGTTTCCAAATTATTTGATATCGCAAGCTTTGTGATTTTCCCACTAATGCGAACGTTGTGTAGGTGAATAATTTGAGCGCCAAGAACAGTCGAACCCACGTGTGCCGGTGCCAGCCATTCCGTTCCGGCAACGCCGACCCCAGCGCACATTATCAAATGTATGCAGCGTGGAAATTGTTCCGTGGAGAATGTACGATGAATTGCGTAAATACACCACCATCAAGGATCTTTCCTTTTCCAGTTGGACAAAACAGGAACAAAAAAAACGAATAAGAAAAACAGAAAACGAATAGACATTAGATATGATACTTCTGGTGTTCCCTCGACACTTTCCTTCCATTTGACCTTGATGCCGTGCCACTGCGTTGCTTAGTCGGGTCCCTGAAAATCTTGTTCCAAGGGGGAGACGAGACAAGCGTTCGTTTGTGCAGGTGTAAGCAGCTTGATTTCCGTCGGCTTGGATGTTTGGTGCGGCTGCGACAATGGAGAACTGTCTGTCTGGTCCGGGTCTCAAGGCTCTTACAGTTTGAAGAAGACGATAAAGCCGCACGCGTCCAAAGTATCCACCATGGCGGAAGTTGGGAAGCAGGTTCACAAAGGCGAAGTGACTCAAAGCAGCGCTTTTACGACAGCGCCAATTTCACGCGATATTTACATAAACGATATTTATTTTTTCGCGACTTTTCCCGCATTGGCACAGGGCACCAGTACTGGTACGCGATATTCAGTCATTCGAAAACGGCAATAGACCGTTTCTAAATGGAATTTTTGACGGTCCATGCACCACACCGCCCTTTATTTGGGCCGCCGAGTAGCAGTTTTCTGCAGGTCGGCTCGCAAGCGCAAATGGAAGACAAAGTGGATACAGTGGCCAATTGCATTTTGCTGCAATGCCTTCAAGATAGGAGACGCGCCCAGGGTATGAATGTTCAAATACAAGCCGCCACTACGGAATTATCGTGGCCCACGCACTAGATGGCACATACATGGACAGATGCTCGGCTGTAGAAAGCAGATCCATCAAGGCAATGTTTCTGTCACTCCTATTGGTGAGAAAATTTGCAGTGAGAGATTGCTGCCAGAGACTTTCTCCACCCCTGGAGGGTGAAATCTCTCCGCGAACCTGAATGCTTCTTTAGGAATTGATCTGAACATCAGCTCGCCATATGCACACAGAGGAAATATTTCATGTTGAAGTGCTCTTTGACAGCAGCTTGAGCACATGCAGGCAGTGGATGCTGCCGCCAAACACGCACACATGTTCATTTCTTTGGTTATTCGATTCTCTTGCTTGAAAGCGAACAGCAGCAGAGTGTAAGTCGTGGCGTAATTGTCGAATATTTGAAAATCATCTTCGTAGATGAATGCTCAACCGAGAACCAATTTTCGCGTCAGTAGTGAACTCGAAACTTATGATCTGTAGTGTTGTACTCTCAGGTATGGACAGGATCAGCAGACCGTCAGATACTTTCCATCGACCCAGTGTCAACATCAGTGTTGTTCAGTCTCGGCGATCAAGGGAGCTTTGTGAAATCCGTGCTCTGCTTTGGATGGCATGTATGGACCGTCAACAACAAAGGGATCAGAATCTTCACATGCGAAGGGATATTTCTTGCCGAAATAGAAAAGGTGCGCCAATATATACAGCCTTGCTGCTTCAAACCCGCTCCAAAATTTATCTCGAAATGCGATACCGGGATGTTCG